GGAAGGAACAAAGAAACGAATGGAGGAAGGAAGACAAAAAGACAAGAAAACTCAATCTCCTGATTTGGATAGAATAGGTATCAAGTGAACTCTACAACCTCAGTGATCATAAAGATTTTCAGAAGGTCTTTCACCAATGTTTGTTTCTTCTAGGTTCTCAATCTTCCCTATGTGGTTTACTTCATCCAAAGATCTCCTTCTTCTTCCTCCACTTTGAGCCCAAAGATGAACACAAATTTTTTCCCATAAATTTAATGCTGAAACACCAATATAATACCCCTGAGGTAAGCTAGCTGCTCGTAAAGGTTGGGATAAAGAAGAGAATTACACTCCAGCACAACACAACAAAAGTTTCACATTTATCTGGGGATCTAATGTGCAGCATGGTGACTATCATAAATAACACTGAATTATATCCTTGAAAGTTGCTAAGAGAGTAGATCTTAAGTGTTCTCACCCTGTGTGCTCCCCAAAAAAGTAATTATGTGAGCTGATAGAGATGTTGACTAACTCTATTGTGGTAATCATTTTGCAATATATAAATCAATATATAAATCATTTTGCAATATATAAATATATATCAAATCATGTTGCACACCTTAAACTTACACAGTGTTATATGTCACTTATATTTTAATAAGCTGGAAAAAATTAACACCTAATATTAATTATTCCCATTATTTAAAATCCTTTTGGCTCTTCCTTACTGGGACATTCTCACTGGTTTTAAGAAGTGTGCCTGCCAGTTGGCCAGATTCTTGCATCATTTCTTTTTTTTTGCTACTATGCCATGTCTCTGATATCATTGCCATGGATAAAATATGAAAATTAAAGGTCTGTTAATCTGCAAACAGAATTCTGTGGTCCTCTCCACTCACTTTTTCCTAAGACCTCCCCTTTCTATATTCATAAAAATACCAGCTAATCAAGAGACCATTACTGTTGGTCACATCTTTTCAAAGGAGGAGCAGAAGCTCTGTATTTGCAGTTTTTTCCTTTAATGATAAAATTCTTGGATATGGTCCTTTTCTCTTCAGTCTCATAAACAGAAATAACCATCATATAGATTTATCTTCTTCAGGGTAGGAATTATTCAGTTTCCCTGGAAAGGCTGAAATGTCTATAGTCCCTTTCAGTTTAAAAAACAAAGCAGCAATCTCCATTCAACTCTAACTTGGCATCACCAGTTTGTCTTGTAAGGGTTTGTGTGACAGGAACACCGAGAGAACTTTGTGGGAAGGACGGTTTTCACTACCGGATTTAAGCAGCTTACTCACACTGCAGGGAGTTCTTTGGGCCAACCTTGATGGTATCTACTGGATTAAAAAAATTCATCATGTAAAAATTATTAGACTGGATTAATCTTTAGTTGGCACAATTCTGATCTTGCCACTTCCCTGTTTAAAATCAAAACAAGATAACAGCCGTTGTGTTCTATGACTCTACTCCTGCTCCCACTGGCTTTTAGAACAGAGGAGAGAAGGAAATCTAATGACAGTACAGCTACAAAATGGCCATGGCCTGTCCATGCATATTTCCTTCCTTTCCATCCCAGGCCAAAATAAACATGGGTCCATAGTCAGCCATCAGCAACATAGCAACAAGGGCACCTCCCTTTGGCTGTCCCATCTTTCTGCTCTTTACGCTTCCATCCCTCTGGTACACTGAATGCCCTCAAATTCACCTCCTGTGTCCCATTATAACTTGCTCCAAGCAAGGCACAGAACTATTTCACACTAGACTATAATGGCAACTACGAATCCAACTTATGAGGTAATTGGGTAGTGGGGCCTTATTAGGGGTATGTATATCATGGCAGGTGATGGCTTTTTATGTTCTAAAAAAGGTCCCAGCCTTCAGCTAATGGGATGAAATACAAATGATGGCATTTGGGGCACCTACAAGAGGATACAGGAGATAATTGGGGTTTCTTCAGATCAGTGAAGCACATTTTCCTCTCTCTCCCAGCATGGTAATATTTCTGATAAAGGAACATACCTTCTAAGTGGTGTAGTTATTGAATGTGCTGATTTGTTTGTTTTCTCTGAGAAGTTATTAATAAACTGATGCCATGCCTTACAATTGCATGAACCATGCATAGAGTACATGCTAATTGGAAAGAAGAAGAGAGTTTGAAGACATTGTATGCTACCAAAGGGAGGAAAGGGTAAAGAAATTGATGCTGTGCCTAATCAGCAGAATGATGGAAGCAAGGACTACTTTACTATGAGAGGCATGAAGTTTCCTTCACATCTCAAACCATTAACCACCCTGTTTTTCCAGAGTGGTTTTGAAATACAAGACTAATTAAAGTTATATAGATGATACTGTTTATTGGCAATGGTTACTTGAAACCAGCAGTACTCACTGACTCTTCAGCTATAAGGTTCTGGTAGTTAACCTTTGGATGTCATAGATGTAATGACAGTGCTTTGACCCAATATTCAACTGACATGTACAAGGTATTTACATGCCTTGTGGACTGAATATTAACACTTACGTGGTGGCAATATTAAAGTATACAGTAGTCAAGTCTCTGAAAGCCAGAGCTTGATTTTCTGCTGAGACCATTACAAACAGAAACCTGTTACATTAGAATACCTCATGGTAAAATAATTAAAAGCCTTGGTTAAGGTAAAAAACAGTAAAGATTTAGTTCTCCATTAACACTGATCTTATCAAGTGTGCAAATGTACAAGAGAAATTTCAACAGGACACAGATAGCTCTTCGCAGAGTCTTTTCATATTTTTTTGTAACTAAAAACATATTTCAGTCATCAGAATTTCCTGTGTCCTGCCTCAAATCCATGGAGCAAACTAGGGAGTGAAGTTGGTATCTAGACTAAACAATAATCAAGGATTTTTTTCAGTTATCTAGATGTCAATAGCAAAGTGAGAGGTTCCTCTGATAGAAAATATTGCTCACCTTGGGCCTTATGGATAATTTATGTTTTCTTCTTCTTTTTCTTTTTATTATTTCCTTATTTTCTACAATAGCTACTCTTTATTGGGCATTGTGGACCAGGCCTTGTGCCTTTGTCTTCAGAAGCTGGTCATTTATAACAGGTGACTGACTCACACAGACATACATGGAGGTCCTTATCACTGGTAAGGGTACTTGCAGAGCATAAAGTGAGTGCCAAGGGAGGCTGTGCCTTCCAGGAGGGACAGGAGTTGAGTCAGGAAAAGCTCTGCTGAGCACAGGAGACATGAACTAGACTTTGGTCACACAGAATTTGTAGAGGTGGGATGAAAGGAAACATTTGAGAAGGGAGGATAAGTACAGCAAAATAGAAAAACTGCCCCCAAAAACTTGCTGGGGGTACTTCAGAACAATCCACAGAGAGTCTAACAAGAGCAGAAGAAATCAGTAGAGCCTGGCAGGAGTGCATTATGTGACTGAAGCCCATAGCAACCTGGAGACTACATGACCTGGGACATCTTGACACATGGACCAGCAATGGCTGGCCCTTCTGGCATCCTAGGGACAAGGCCTGAAGACTGGCCTCCTGTGTGTTCCTGGAATAACAGCAGAGTGGCCCCCAAAGGTCATGGTAGTGTATCCAAGGCTAGAAGGTAAGTACATTGTGGGGGAGCTTGTCTTACTGTTATGGCCAGAGCCTGTGCTTCCAGGAGTACTACACGTACCCCATTCCTGCCACTGTCCCAGCACAGGACCCTCTCTGCAAGCATCCTACCTGCACTGTCCTATCCCAGAATGACTCTGCATGCATGCATCCCACCTGCCACTGTCCTATCACAGGACCACTCTTTGAGTACATCCTACCTGATGGACAAGAGTTGCTTATGCTGGTGTTCATCTACAGTCCCTGCAACTTGGACCCATCCCTTGGCTGCAGCTGCTGCTTGCTGAGTGTTCAGCAGAGCTCCCTATATGTTCAGCTATTGGCCTCCTGTGGAATGGGTGAGCTATGGACTCAATCAGCACAGGACTTTGAACCTAGGTGGATCCTCTAGCTTAAGGATTATCATGATTTTTTTAATGTTATTTTCTGGTTACAGTGCTCCAGTTTTCTTGCACAGGGGCCATTGCGGAAGATGGGGAACAAGTAGTTTGTGAGGCAAGATTTCTGGAAGGGTGGGCTGTGGGTAAAATTGCAGTATTTCCAGAATCTCTCGCCTGGCCATAGTTCATCTCCATATCAGTAAGTGTTTACAAGGTGTGGAGAGAAGTAGTCCAGCTCCTTATCAATAGGTGCTTACAAGAGGCAAGCACACACTGGGGCAGGAGAAATTTTGTGGGCACTTCCCAGCCAGGACAGGGATAGACACAGGTGAGATGGAGTATGAATGCAGCCAGGATTCTTGTAAGCAGTAAGTGGGGTTCTCCCACTTTGTTCTTCCCTTTGACTGTTTTGGCTTCAATTATTTATTTGCCCTGCACTGGGAGCACATTTTACCCCTGGAGTTACAGGACTACATACAGTTTACTGATTTTGGTAAATCCATTTTCTGAGGCACAGAGTCAGGAGAGAATCAACTATTATGTCCAGGCATGCTTCACTATATGCACAAATAATAACCAAGGAGGTAGATATTGTTATCTTTGACTTTACAGATCAAGCAAAAGTAGGTCAGGAAGTTTGAAACATTTAAAGACTCACTGAAACCCTGTGAAGTCTTATTCCTCCTGTGTTCCAAATGAAGCTCAGAAAGATTAAAGGATGTGTCAACATATCACAGCTCACTTATGGTTGAGCCAACTTGAGCAAAGGTCTCCTGATTCTTAGTCCTTTGTTCCTTTCCCTCCACACCCACTGCCTCAGATAACTGCAGGTACATGTTCTCCACCCTCCCATACTCAGGAGAAAGATGCAACTGAGACCTGTGTCTGCATTTCACAGATGCCATTTCACTAATTAAAAATGCTGAGTGGGCAACTTGCATCATTTCTGTTTCCCAGTAATGTTTAACCTTAAGTCAAAAAAATCTAAGAGGTAAAAGAGCATGTTAATCCGGCATGTCCATTCTACCCCAGGTGCTTATTAATTTCAGAACATATCTGAATGACTTCTCTGTGGCATATGCTTCAGTAGAGGAGCAGACAGTTCCTGACCAGGGACAGATTTCAAGTTCTTCTCTATTGGTACCACTACCACCAGTAGATTCCTCTTCAGAGTCAACGTTTAAGATCTTCCCTGAGGACAGCTTGGTGTCTGAAAACCCACACAAGTGCCTCTGGTCAATCATTCTCTTCACAGCATCACAGTCTCCTCTCCTGGCAAAGCATCTGCTCTGCTGAACTTTGCTTATGGAAACAACTTCTCCCTGAGAACTGGTTGAAAACAATTCCCCAGGGGCTGTGCTTCCCAGCATGGAGGTGAAGAGCTTTGCAGTTTGGGATTATGTCGTATTTGCAGCCCTCTTTATCATTTCCTCTGGAATTGGGGTGTTCTTTGCTATTAAGGAGAGAAAAAAGGCAACTTCAAGGGAGTTCCTGGTTGGGGGAAGGCAAATGAGCTTCGGCCCCGTAGCGCTGTCTCTGACAGCCAGCTTCATGTCAGCGGTCACCGTGCTGGGGACCCCTGCTGAGGTCTACCGCTTTGGGGCATCCTTCTTCCTCTTCTTCATTTCATATACATTTGTCATCACCTTCACTTCGGAGCTCTTTCTCCCCGTCTTCTACAGATCTGGCATCACCAGCACTTATGAGGTAAGACAACTACGCCCTTCTTCACTTTGGAAGGAGCTGCTATTTTTTCTCCACTTGAACATTTCTGTTAATCTTTTTTTTCCTTTCTCTAATAATACAAACATCCTGATGGTAATACATGACAGTTAAAGGACGCTCACTTATTCTCCGGTCAATTACACACATGGGAAAACCATTTCAATGTTCCTGGGAAAAGCTGAATCTTTGGGTGCACACACCTGTTTTTTTTTCCATCTGTGGAATGGAGAGGATGAGGTCAATCCCTGAGGCTATTTCAGGCATTAAACAGGAACCTGTGTAAACACCTGATGTACTGCCTTGCTTGTAAGAGAGTCTCAGGGAAAGAGAGCTGAACTTATTACCAGTATTATAAACATCTTATTCTGAAAAGCATACACAGCATACACTGTGAATAGTGTCATTTTCCAACCAAGAAAACTGAGATGTAGATAAAGGACTTAGTCAAGATTGTATAATGGACAAAGCCTCCTGAGGACCCATTTTGTCTGTATTTTTTTCCACCAGATAGTACAGCTGAGCACTTTAATACAAATTATTTTTGGTAAGGGGAATGGTTGATGTTTTTGAAAAATTAGAAAATATTTTAATGTAAAGGAATTGCTAAATAATGCAAATATGGGGATTTTGTCAATAGAGAAAAATGAGGTGTTTTGACTTTGAAATAATTCTCAAGAAAAAATATGTCAAAAATTGAATGTGTATGTTCAATTATTAAATGTGGTCATAAGTCAGTTTCCATCAAAAAAGGTGTCTATTTTTCTTATCCAAAATCCCTGCTAAGGCACAGCACAGGACTCTTAACAGACTCTTTTTTTAAGTTCTGTGAACTCAGTGATTATAAAGGATTACTCTAGACTTCGAAGAGCTTTCAGGCAAATGAACATTTTCAAGAACATTTTAAAACTTAATGATTCTGCAGATGAACATATCCTAAATATCCAACATCAGCCTCCTCTCCAAAAAGAAGGTAATCAGGATTGGGTCACACAAAAGCTATATCTGGGATGTAAATTCAAGGGGAAATGACTAATTTTATGCTTGGCCCTAAAATATATTATGTACATATCCCTCATTGCTCATAGGGTACTTCTGAAAATATAAATATATCCTAGGTTTCTCTATTCAGGTATTAAAGTTTGACTCCCAAAGGCATTGCTAGCATTTCAAAAAGAACTGTTTAAATAACTGCTGGTTTGTATGAGTTTGTGGTGGGGGGATGGGCTTGGAGTCAGAAAATAAGAGTTCAGTTTCTAAGTCCATTGCTAAACAATAGGATGGCTTTGTACAAGTTACTAAGCATTAATAAGCTCTGGTTTCCACATAGAAAACAGTAATTCTTTTCTTTCAAGTAGGTTTAGTTGTGTGAAAGAGCTTTTTAAGTTATAAAAACTACCCAAATGTGGAAAATCATTGTTGTAACTAGCCATCCACTTAATAAACACTCATTAAGCATCTGTTATGTTCTAGGCACACTGTAGGCCCTGGAGATAAAGCACTGAAGCAAATCTCTTCCTCCTGGAGCTTACTTTATATCAGAGAAGAGCTGGCAATAAACATACTATGTAAGACAATAAAAGCAGAAATTTAGATGCTGTCTAACTGTGCTGAGTTGTTGCTCTAAGAACTTTACACATATTAACTCATTTGATCTTAAAATGAGTTTTTTTGAGATAGATATAATTATTATTATCCCCATTTAACAGACTAGAAAAATGAGGCACCCAGAATTAAGTAATGTGCTCAATGTCTCATCACTAGCAAGTGGCAGTTTTCCGATATTTCAAGCCTTGCTTGAAATCTAACTCTAGAGATCACATGCTGAATGTTGTAGTAATTATATTTAAGTTTCTAGAAATTAGATGTGTAAGTATGAGGTCTCATTATTGGCTATTGTTTCAGTGTAGTAAATGATGTTGCAAAATGGATAATGTTACCATGCCCTACTATGTCTATGAGGAGTAAATGAGGTATCATATGCAAATGCTTTTAATGGAGCCTGGCAAATAATGATACATATGAGTTTTATATTATTATTGTTGCTGTTCTAGTTCTTGTTGTTACTGTCTCCAAATTTGTATCACTCACTCTCTCTATAGCAGCTTGATTTTATGTTTCTTTGTTCATCCTCGATTCCCTGTTACCTATCTGTAGACATTCTTGGCAGGGTGTTTTAAAGTGCTTAAGACTGCAAGAGGTGGAATCCATTTTCCTACCCATTGAATCTGTGATGGCCTCGTGATTTGCTTTGACCAATAGGACATGGCAGAAGTGATGCATGAATTTGGAGCCTAGACCTCATGAGGCTTTCAGCCTCTGCCTTGCTCTCGTGGAAGGCTGCCCTGATCCTGCTCTGACAGGAAGCTAGTGTAACGTCAGGATGAGGGCCACATGGGAAGAAAGGCACCCTAGCTAACACCAACTAGACATGTACATGAGGCCATCTTACACTTATTCACCCTGCTGATCTAGTTGACTGAAGTCACCTGACAGCCCTGGGAAAACTAGTAGGGAAATCATCCAGCCAATTCTCAAAATTATGAGAAATATTAAATCCGTGGTTGTTAAGCCAATGAATTTGGGAGTGGGTATAGAGCAATAACAAACTGATATAAATGCTTTGATATGCAGCAGGCTTTCAAAACTAAAATACGCCGTCTGTGCTACTTTTTCACTATCCTGTCCCAAGTCAAAGCATAAGGAACTCTTCTCACCCTCCAGTTATAAATGAGGCTCAGCTCATTCGCAGTGTCATACATTTTCATTATCTTCACGTGGACAGGTTATAATTTAACTGTGCTGAGTTGTTGCTCTAAGAACTTTACACATATTAACTCATTTGATCTTAAAATGAGTTTTTTTGAGATAGATATAATTATTATTATCCCCATTTAACAGACTAGAAAAATGAGGCACCCAGAATTAAGTAATGTGCTCAATGTCTCATCACTAGCAAGTGGCAGTTTTCCGATATTTCAAGCCTTGCTTGAAATCTAACTCTAGAGATCACATGCTGAATGTTGTAGTAATTATATTTAAGTTTCTAGAAATTAGATGTGTAAGTATGAGGTCTCATTATTGGCTATTGTTTCAGTGTAGTAAATGATGTTGCAAAATGGATAATGTTACCATGCCCTACTATGTCTATGAGGAGTAAATGAGGTATCATATGCAAATGCTTTTAATGGAGCCTGGCAAATAATGATACATATGAGTTTTATATTATTATTGTTGCTGTTCTAGTTCTTGTTGTTACTGTCTCCAAATTTGTATCACTCACTCTCTCTATAGCAGCTTGATTTTATGTTTCTTTGTTCATCCTCGATTCCCTGTTACCTATCTGTAGACATTCTTGGCAGGGTGTTTTAAAGTGCTTAAGACTGCAAGAGGTGGAATCCATTTTCCTACCCATTGAATCTGTGATGGCCTCGTGATTTGCTTTGACCAATAGGACATGGCAGAAGTGATGCATGAATTTGGAGCCTAGACCTCATGAGGCTTTCAGCCTCTGCCTTGCTCTCGTGGAAGGCTGCCCTGATCCTGCTCTGACAGGAAGCTAGTGTAACGTCAGGATGAGGGCCACATGGGAAGAAAGGCACCCTAGCTAACACCAACTAGACATGTACATGAGGCCATCTTACACTTATTCACCCTGCTGATCTAGTTGACTGAAGTCACCTGACAGCCCTGGGAAAACTAGTAGGGAAATCATCCAGCCAATTCTCAAAATTATGAGAAATATTAAATCCGTGGTTGTTAAGCCAATGAATTTGGGAGTGGGTATAGAGCAATAACAAACTGATATAAATGCTTTGATATGCAGCAGGCTTTCAAAACTAAAATACGCCGTCTGTGCTACTTTTTCACTATCCTGTCCCAAGTCAAAGCATAAGGAACTCTTCTCACCCTCCAGTTATAAATGAGGCTCAGCTCATTCGCAGTGTCATACATTTTCATTATCTTCACGTGGACAGGTTATAATTAGCCTCATCACATTTTTTCTCCACTTCAATTTATTTCCTTCTTTCTCTTATAGAGTAATAAATCCAGGCTGTTGCTACTTACCCTACCAATAGTTTATAGACTGGTGTTTATCTGCATTCTCATTTTTCTTGGGCTTCTTAAACTAAATGAATTCTGAACTACTTACTTCTCTTTAATCCAAACTTTTTCATTATAATAATGCACAGGCTATCACTTCTCCATATCTTCTTTCACAGTGGTTTCTAAGCATTACAGATGACATACTTCTTTATGGTAAATTGCTTTCCTCTTAATTCTCCTTTAAATCACATTTGTGGTGTTGTCGTAATTATAGTTAAATTTTGGGAAATTAGATGTGTAGGTATGAGATCTCATATTGATATTATTTCAGAATAGTAAAATGGATGTTACAAAATGTTTGCTGTAAAATAGATATTGTAAGGTCTGATAGAGTCTGAACCAATGTTATGAAACCTCTTTGATCATCATACAGATTGGGTTTTACTCTGTGAGACTGACTGGTCACAGTATTTGGCCTTGGGAGTGACATGATGTGATTTGTATTTTGAGTACTGTTCTAGCGAGGTGGTGAGAATGATGACAGGGTTTTGACTGATGAAGCAGGGGGCCCACTTAGGAGGCTATTGCTGTAATCTAGTCAAGCAATGACGGTTTTAGTCTGGCAACAGAGGAGATGATGCAAATGAATATATTTTAGAAATGAGGGGTGATCACCAGGATGTTTTATGAATCGTATGTGGGGAATGAGACAGAAAGGAGTAAAAGATGGTTCCAATATAAATTTCTTAAAAAAACAATTTTCCTTGCTCACAATTCTGTGGACCAGAAGTTTGGCCTGGGCTCAGTAGGGTCCAGGAAAATAGTTAGGTTTTTCTCCTGGTCTCACTTGGGGCCATCTATATAACTGCCATAAACTAATGGGTCTCCTGGTGGCTTCTTGGTCCAAGGAACTGAGATGAGTCAGCTTGTCTGTGTTTTACTTGGTCTCATCTTCCAGCAGGCTCCCTGGTTTCTAGGAAAAGAGCTGCTATCAGCAAGAAGGTATATCCCATTACACTAATATTTTAAAGTCTCCTTTTGCAATCTATTTGCTAGAAATATCACTGTTCTTAGTTATGTGCTCCCAGAAGAAAATCCTGAGACAAAGATTAGGATGCAAATCATTGGGGCGTGGGGGGGGATGTGTTTCCATTAAGCATTGGTAGGCAAGTGTCAACTAAGACATGGCAGGAAAGGAAACCACTAAAAGGTGGGTTTTTGGACTGGTTACTGCTATGGGCCCCTGAGGTTCAGTCTCACTGGGGATTTCTGGGAGACAGTATAGATCAGATCTCAGGGTTATTCTCCCTGAAAGACAAATAAACTGGTATTTTTCTTTCAACTCAGTTTTGTCATTGGCTGAAAGCCAGTGATCACACCCCCACATGTTTCTAGCCCCCTCTGTGTAAGGGCTGAGATAAATCTCTTAAGCAGATAACCACAGGTGGATTTATATTTCCACTGACATGTACTGGGAAGAAGAGTGATTGCCAATCAGTGCCAAGTATTGCACCTACAGTGACTACTGTAGTCACTAAGATCCCATTATATTCCTACTACATTCCTGTCCCTGCACATGGTGTTATGCTGCCCGCTGCCATTTGTTCTTCATAAGCAACAATTTTAGAGAGAAAGAACCATAGTTTACTGCAATAAACAAAGCTTGCCAAGGGCATGTGATTTGAGTGTAAGTTGTCCTCACCACAAACTTTTGCACTGTTTTCTATTCTGTGATATCTGAGGTTTCTGACTCCTCACTGACCTTCTTACCTCTTTATGAATATTTTCCTCATGTCTAGTGGCTCAGTCACACATTCACTGGACTATGCCATGGCTCTCACTGCATTGAAAGTATCATCTGATGAGAATCTGCAAATTAGGGTAGCTATTTATTCTCTAGGGGGAGGGTTGAGCAGTATAAATTGGGAAAAGTGGATTAATGTGAAATTGAATAACAGTTCTGCCAAGCAAGTTCCTACTAGGGTTTCAAGGAAAAACCCATCTTAAGCCATGGAACAACACTTACTTATATGTATTATTTCTAGGAAAAGGACAAATCAATAGTTAACTCACAGTTTAATCAAAATGATTTTTCTTAGATTCAAGTAAGAAAGAACTACTACCAGTTAGAAATTACTACCAAGAACTGCTATCAAAAAATTGAATCCTCAAGTCATTTGGTACTTTTAACATTTATTTTGTTCACTCAATATATGCTTATTATGCACTGGAAGACAAATACTAGTATTGTCTAGAGTACTTAGGAAAACCTTTCTTGACTTCCAACAGTAAATAAGTTCTAGCCATTTCATATGTTCACAGCTCCCTGTAGCTCCTCTTCAAGTACATACTATAACTGTAACTTTACTTTTGTTAGTACAAAATTTGTTAATAGTCACCTTTAATCTGTAAAATCCATTAGAGATAAAATAGAACACTGCTTCTGTATACATGGGATGGTAGGTATTGTAAGTGGTAAATGCATCCCTTCCTCTCAAAAAAACACCCCCACCCCTGGCATCATGTTCTAATCCCAGGAACCTGTGACTATTACCTTATATGGCTGAAAAAAAATAAATGGACCTTTGCAAGTATGATTAAATTAAGGATCTTGAGATGGGAAGATTATCCTGGTTTATCCAGGTAGGTCCCAAGTGCAATCATACATACCTTTATAAGATGGTGGCAAAGGGAGATTTGACAGACAGAAGAGAAGGCAATGTGAGCACGGGGAAAAGATGGAGCCAGAAGCTAAGAAATGCAATGCCAGGAGCCACCAAAAGCTTGAAATGGCAAGGGACAGATTCCTCCCTAAAACCCCAGTGGGAGTGTGGTCCTGCTAGCATTTTTATTTTGGCCCAGTGAAACTGGGTTTGTATTTCTGGGTAAGTTTCTCTTGTTTTAAGCTACCAAGTTTGTGCATAGTAGCCACAGGAAATGAATACAGTAAGATATTTGAATCCAACACAAATATACAAGACAACATGTGATGGGGTAATACCATACGTTAAAGAAGTTTGATATAATTGCAGTAACAGTCATAGGTAGAAAGTATAAGTAGAGATGGAAAGGGAGTTGGGCTATCCTTCCTGAAAGATGACTAAGAATGGGTGAACTTGGGTGAAACTCTCACACTGAAAGGTCTGCCCAAACAAAGGAAAAGTCTGGCAGTACAAAGCATGTTGGATGAATGATCCACAGTGGTTTTATGTGGAGAAAAAATAATGGGAAGGTCAGTGGTGTGACTTAAGAGTGGAAGGGATGGGGCAGGCAGGCAATAGGGGAATGTCCAGACTATCAAGCCTGGGATGTGCCCTTTGTTTTGTCAATGATAGAGAATCATTCAAGATTTTGAGAAAAAGAGTGACATGATCAGAGTTCCACTTTAGAAGAATCAGTGTGGCAGATGTGCGGTCGATGGAATGCGTGGGCAAGAGCTGCGATTAGGGACACCAGTTTGGGTGCTACGATAGTAATCTGGGAAGAGGAAATGCAGGCCTGCCTTGGCTAAATTTGGGGCAGAGGGGATATAAGAGGAAAAAATGGCTTCGGTATATCCAATAAGAAGACCCCTAGGTAGAAAATCAGAACACCTGATTTCAATGAAATAAAAATTAAAAAAGTAAAAAGCATTTATTTTCCCTATCATGAAAGGCTTGATAGAGCAAGAGTTGAGGTATGTCTTTGACTTTAAACAATCCATATTTTTCTCCAAAATATATATAGCATTAAATCACATCATTAATCCAAAGCACTAAATTCAGAGGAACAGCAAGAAAAAGAAAATCTTCACAGCTTTTATGTGAAACTCACTGACTCTTTGCCTATCTTTCTCTCTGTTCTTTCTAGTACTTAGAACTGCGGTTCAACAAACCAGTTCGCTATGCAGCAACTATCATCTACATTGTGCAGACGGTAAGGGGGGAGGAAGGACTTCTGCCGAGGTGGCAAGGGTGAGGCCACAAGGTATGGGGTGTGTATTTCAGGGGACAGTAAACTCAGTTAAAGGATAGACCTAATGCTAGAAAACTACTTTTGTCTAAGAATAGAATATTCAAAGTATGTGATCACCTTGACAGTTGTCTATGGTGCACAAACCCAAAAATCTGCACAAATAGTAACAAATAAATGTATATCATAAACCTCAAAGGAAAACAAAAAAAAAACGTTTTCTTAAAATTTATTGCAAACTCTTCTTTAACCTGTACAAATTGCTTTGGATATGAGTGATCTGATAACTGATTTTTTTTTTTTAACTAGTGAACTATGTTGAACTAGAAATACTGGTTTTGCTGAAAATAATTTTAAAATAATATCCCCAAACCAAACCTCCCACTGTCCCCTTTTGGAAATCTTTCCTACATCCCAGGCTCTGGGGTGACACACTGTTGTGTTTCTACAACTGACCAAGTACTTTGTGTTAGAAGAGAACCTTCTTCCCTTCTCTTAATCAAAACTCCCACCCACTGACTGCAGGATTTAAGAGAGAGAAAAGGAGGAAGCCATGCTCTCTGACCTGCCCATAGACACTTGCTTTTTAAAACCCTCATATAAATCTCCTACTGGTGAAATTCCATTTAAAATAACATGCAACTGCACCTCCTCCCAGGAGTGTAGTGGTTTCAGTTCTGGGAGAAGATAAATTTTGTGCATTGCACATGCTATGAGTCTTTTCTGCACTGTTCTCTCTCCTCACAGGTTCCTTCCAGCTCTACTCTAAAATCCCTATTTCAGCAAACTGCAAAAACGTGTCATTGTGGTGTGTGCATGGGGGGTTGGTGGTGGTACACAAGGGTGAATCAAAAACTTGCTTTGAAACCTATTGTTGTTTCCTTCAGAAATATACCAGATCTAGCCATAAAATCTCAAAATTCACAGTAATCTTAAAAGACTAGCCATCTTCATCTATTGCTTGTTATTTATTTTGCAAACTAGTTACCATGGTCAACAACTTCAAAATTAGATGGATAGGAAGGAAATGTTTGGTGAACTAGTTGAAGGAAACACATCTCTGTCAATAAAGAAGTTTCTGGGCATCTTTCCTCTCCATGTTGCTTTTCTCACTGACCACCTGGTTCTTGCTTTTCCACCAGATTCTCTACACGGGAGTAGTGGTCTATGCTCCTGCTCTGGCGCTCAACCAAGGTGAGTTACCCACACTCCCCTGGGTACTTTCTACCATTTTTATGCCTGTATTCTCATCTTGAGAAATATACATAGCAAAACAGCTCACTAGGGAGACATTTCTGTGATTAGGGTGCTCTGAATTACTGCAGTAGTCACAACATAAAGCCCCAAAGAGTGAACTTTGAAAACAATGCAAATCATTAGTTTCTTGATTTTGCCCTCATGGTTCCGAACATACAGTGTTATTGTTGTTTTTTTTTTTTTTTTTTTGGTTTGGTTTGGTTTGGTTTTAATCACTGAAATGATGGCAGCTTTGGTATTGTGTACACGCAGCCACTAACCAGGTCATCTCTAATATATGGTCCTTTTTCAGTGACTTCATGAAGTAGATAATCTGCATACATGAGTAAAAGGGGCCTGTAGTAATTATTTTAAAATTTATACTTAACCCTTTTGAGAGAATAGAATCCTACAAACAAAAAGGAAAGAAATAAAAAGTGAAACAAATTTCACAATGATACCTATAATATTAGAAGTCCTTAATATTCAATTAAATAGTGCTATGTGTGATATTGAGAAATATTCACTCATGACTGATACTTAGGCAATTTCAAAATTCTCAGACTACTTTACTAAGAAAACCAAATGGTGCAAAGATTGGAAGCTCTATAATCTTAGGAGGAAAAATTTGGCTTTTACCATCACACAAAAATTATGGACTGGGTTGAGATATCATAATAGAACAATCTTTATAAGAGGTTAAGAAAATTTAATAAGACAAAATTTTAATTTGAGTTTCATTTGATCATAAAGAACATGGAAAAAATATTGTAACTTTTTCTTCATAAAGTTTGCTTTTTGACTTAACTCAGAGAAACTCCTTTCAATATTTTTTCTCCTTTTGTAGTGACTGGGTTTGATCTCTGGGGCTCTGTGTTTGCAACAGGAATTGTTTGCACATTCTACTGTACGCTGGTATGTATCTAGCTGTAAAAAAGTGTTTAGCACTATCTCCTAATATGGGATAAGGGTGAATCTACAAGATACTGAATGAAATTGCTATTCCAAAATTAAATAGAAATACACTGACTTATCTATCACAGCTTCCTGAATAAGGTGCTACCACTTTATTTGAAATTTTATTTTTTAGCAGAATTTGGGCTCTGGGCTCATTCAAGAAAGCAGGGATAAGAGAAGACTTAATGAAAGAAATAACTCTTTGATTGAAAGATCTGTGACCACATGCAACTGCTGAGAAAAAAAAATGTGCTCTTTAACAGTGATTTTAAACCATAGGTAGCATTTATACTTCACTGCCTGCTGGTTGAGAAATACAAAAACATGTATGAATGATCAAGGATGGCTGGTATTTTGTAAACCTGAGCATTCAGCAGCTTGCTTTTGTCTCTTATTTATGGATAAACTTGAACTCTATGTAACATTTGGCTTTACATATGATCAGTTTTTAACCAGGAAACCTTGTGTTATTAGCAACACATTTGTGTAATTGTCCTTATTAGTTTAGTTCAAGAAACATTCACTGAGCACCTATTATTTGTTATGCTCTGCAACCAGTATCTTTATCCTTTTGAGTCACTGACACCATATATGGAGGCTATAAGTAACCGGTTAAGAATAGGGTATTGGTTCCCAGATAGATGGATTTTCTTTCCTTCTCTACAGAGATAAAGTAAGTAATTAATATATTATCATACAGCAGACCATCCATGTATTTTGGCATTGTGTTTATCACGTACTCTTTATATATATCATGATAATACATAATTTTAAAATCCACTTTCTTTTTCATACTTGCAAATTCCACCATTTCTTTGCACTGCAAAGTTTTATCTTATTTTTTTTCTAATCTATTTTCACTGCCACAACTCTATTCCACATCTGCTACCTAGGTTAAAAATAGGTTCCTGCTCCTTGTACATCTGGCAAAATGTGACAGATTAGTTGCTCTGAGGTGTCTGCCCATGGAAGGATACCTAGATACACTGCCAGGGACACTGAAAGCACACTTCTTAACAACAATAACGGAGGCCAGAAACAGTAGAACAATGTCTCCAAATCATCCAAGGAAAACACTTGACAACCTATAATTGTGTATTAAGCAAAACTGTCTTTCAGAAATTGACTGTCAAGAATCAAGAGAATTTACAACGTATCTTCCCTTGAGAAAAACCTAGAGGGATTTCTGTGGGTAGAAGGAAAATTATGCAGTTTCAGGTAGAATAAGGAATAGTATGAAAAGAAAATAGCTAACATTTAGCAAGTCTAGTTAAACAATTGTTACTTGATAATAGTAATCATTTTATGGTATAGTATAATTTATATAAGGAGTAATTATATAGTATAATTTATAGTATTATAAAATATAATAATAATTGTATATTGGAGATTAAGAAAAGGAATAACCCTCATTTGGACAACAATAGCATGTAAATCAGGAAGAGGCTTAAAGATTTTATAATCCTTGGATTATTGGGGATTAAGACATTTCTTATATTTTGACTCTAAAAGTTCTTGGCAAAATTTCAAGGGGAACTATTAAATAAAATGGTCAAAGTAGAAAAAGGGAATTAAAACAAAACAAAATCTCAATTTATTCAAGCAATAGAGGAAAACAGAAAAAAAATGCATAGAAAAAGTAGAATAAATAGAAACCAAAAAGTAAAACATGAGAAACAAGTCTGGATAGTTTAATCACAATGAGTTAAAATGAACTAAATTTACTACCTGTTCATTGGTTTCAGTGCTTCCCTCCACCCCACATGCCTCAGTCAGATTAGCCTTCTTAAAACATTACTTTTTTCATGCTACTTGACTAACCTAATTCTCTTCTTGCTTCCCTTTGTTCACAGGATAAACTATAAGCTTCTTTGCCTAGTGTTGAAAGTCTTTGATTATATAAATGTATCTACCCACCTCATCTTTTCTCACCGCACCTCTGTTACATCTCTCCTCCCTCCAGCCAGGGTAGAGGCTTCAGCATCTCACGAAAATGGTGGTGTATTCACCTAGTGCTTTTGCTCATATCGCAGTCTCTAACCCGCTAATCATGTGGATGCATAGCATATCTAAGGTAACCAGTAGAAGAGATTTAAAAAAATAAGAAGTTATTCTTGCTGTCCAGGGATTTGCAGTCTAGTGAGGTCAACACTAGATCCAAAACAACACAGACTGATTGAATACATAGGGGACACCAACAGCACAATCAGCGTTATAGATCAGTGTTGTGTGTAGGTGTGTGTGTGCGTGTGTTGTGAACCTTGTTCTCTAAAGGAGACACAGAGCCAGAGAAGTTTTCTTGGTGATTATAATCTGTTTTCTGATGAACATTGATTAAGTGGTTTGTTCTTTTGCTTCATGTCTATCTGATGTTCAGGTTTATGTACATTTTTGCATAAGCAATGCCAAATAGCCCTGAAAACTGAGATCTTTAATATTTGGTCTTCATATCACTAAAATTTGATGTTGGGATTGGGGTTTGGAAGGTTTAGCATCACTAAAGGAAGTCAAAATACCACTATTTGGGAGGTAGAAGGTAAGAGTTTGATTATTCGTCCAATCAGGATTTGAGTGGAATATATGAATGCCTCTGGCAGGGACTTTAGTGTCTGTTTTTTAAATTGCATTTTAATTTTAATTACAAAAAAATGATGGGACAACCCAATGGCTTCTTTCTTTTGAAGATAAAGATGAAGCCTGTCATCTTTTCACAGTTTTTGACATACTGGAGGAGTAACTGGGGATGATAATTCTATTTTTCAATGTTAAAAATACCACATCCTTTCATTCTCATGGTGCTTATTCATTTTCAAAGTACTTTTTTATATATCACTTCATTAATCTTTCCGAATTTGCTCATTCCACTTTCATCACTGTCCTGGGGATTATATACCTGGATTACCTCAGTAGCCTCTTCTCCTCCTTACTTCTTGTCCACATGTTCTCCACCAGAATTGTATATTGGAATCACATGGGAAGTTTTCAAAAAAACACTCAGGACTAGGTCTCAGCCCAAACCTCAATTTATTCGGAAACCCTGGAGGTAGGGCTCAGACACTTGTGTGTGTGTGTGTGTGTGTGTGTGTGTGTGTGTGTGTGTGTATGGGCAGGGGGGTGGGGGGCATGTTATTTTGGGCTTTTTGTTTTTTTGTTTGTTTTCAAATTCACCAAATGGTTGTAAAGAGGTTCCAGGTTTGATATCTATCATTCTTGCCTAATCGCTGTTTCCAGAGTCCATCTTCCTGGAACTGGTTTGCTCACCTCACTGTTTGATCACCCTCTAGCTCTTAAAACCCCTTTTACCACAAATGTCTGGAATCTGTTACTCCTTCCTATTTATTTTCTTCTTTCTCAGTATTCTACTACCTCAGTTTCCCAAAATTCAGTCACTGCATTTACACACACAAAATATCTCAAACTGTACACACCAACTCCGGTGATGATCCGTAAGTCCTTCACTTCTTCATCCTCTGTATTCAATTAGTCATAAGTATGTGATTTTACTTTCCAAATATCTTTGAAATCTCTTAGCTTCTTTCCATCTCTACCCTACTTCGACTGCTGCTATCTTGGCCAAAGATTAATAAATAAACTCTGAGCTGATCTCTTAACTCCTTCTATGGTCCATCAATCTATTATCCACACAACTCCCACTGAGACTACTGTGAAACAAACAAAATCTCTCATCATATAAATCTCTTTAAGGCTCTCTTGCTGCTCTCCAGAAATCATTTAAGTAGCCTTGTCAAAATCTCTTTGTTCTGGCCTCTAGCAAATTCTGCAACCTCCCTTAGGGAATGCTGTGTTTCCTTCAGTCTGCCTATCCATCACTCTTTGGTTTCTTTAGGCAGCTATGCCTCTCCCTCACACATGCTGCTGCCCACTCCTCTCTGTCCTCTGTACCTGGTAAATTCCTACTCAGTCTTCAGAACTTGGCTCAGATGCCACATCTCAAGGCCAGGTCAGGGCTCCCTGCCATGTGGGTCATGGAAACCTATCCTTCCTAATTGCGCTTTCCACAGTTTTTAGCAAACAGTTCTATTATTGTCTAGTATTTGCTTCTTCTACTAGACTATAAATTCTATGAAGTTAAGGTAAGTCTCTTTCACTTACCATTTTTATTCCCATGCTGAACATAGTTATTGGAACAGAAAGGATGTTCAGTGGTAGTTGCTGAAAGGAAGGAAGGAAGGAAGGAAGGAAGGAAGGAAGGAAGGAAGGAAGGAAGGAAGGAAGGAAGGAAGAAAGGAAGGAAGGAAGGAAGAAAGAAAGAAAGGAGGGAGGGAGGGAGGAAAGATTGAATTAGCAGGAAGGCTGTGAAGAATTAGTTTCAGGCTTCCCTTTCAAGAACTCACATCCATTCTCTCTATTTCAGGGAGGATTAAAAGCAGTGGTGTGGACGGATGCATTTCAGATGGTTGTCATGATTGTGGGATTCTTAACGGTTCTCATTCAAGGATCAGCTCATGTTGGTGGATTGCACAATGTAATAGAACAATCAACAAATGGATCTCGACTAAACATAGTTGAGTATGTCCAATGCTACTTTTCCATATTTTATAAAGATTTAGCTGCATGACCCCATCACCTAAAATAATATCTGGGCATCAAAGGAACATCTTTGTTCATTCACTTTTCTCCTCCCCATAGCTTTGATGTAGATCCTCTTAGGCGGCACACTTTCTGGACAATCTCAGTGGGAGGAACTTTCACATGGCTTGGGATCTATGGAGTTAATCAATCAACCATCCAGCGATGCATCTCTTGCAAAACAGAAAAGCATGCGAAGCTGTAAGTTACTAATGAGAAAACATTTCTATGTTTTCTTTGCTTTCATTGGGTACTTATTACACACTTCTTAAGTTGTGTGTGTGTGTGTGTGTGTGCACACGCATGTGTGTGGTGTGCCAAGACAGAGAGGAAAGGAAAGATTAATTTAAGTATTTCAACAATTTATTTGAGGCAGGCATTACTACTCCCATCTCATTAAGGAAGTGGTAGACCTTAGGTCTGTTGCCCATGCTCCCCAGTATTTGCTGCTTCCATTTATTAAGAAATTACTAGGTTAAGTTAGGTACTGTGGTGCAGTGCAGAGGAAAATACCACACACTTTTTACTCACAGTTTCTTGATGAGATGGCCCTTATCACTTATTTGATGCAGCATGTGGTCTTTTCAACTACTATTTTTCTTTCAATGGATTTCTGCTTAAAAATTCCAAGGAAGGGTTTAAAAAGGAGAAAGCACAAGGTCATGAGACAAGGGGCTTTCTCCTCTCCAACTCTTGCTGAGATGGCCAGGCACCATCCTGCCAGCCTACTTATTCAGAAGGACTCCAGCAGGGGCACAGTTTGCCAGACCTTTTCCAAGTCCTGCAAGGTACCCCACACTCTAGAATAGGGATGAAAGGAAGTTCTGAACTCTTGCAAAACTGGCAGAAATAAGCTAGAATTGCAACTAAAATGACATTTCAGCCTCATCACTGCTGTTCAAGGTTCCAGTCTCCCTAGAATTGTCAGGATGTCTAGAACTCTTCTTAGAGTAAGAAATAGCCAGTATGAATATTTCTGCAACTGATAAAGCTTTTTCAAAGCACAGTTTCTTATTTAGACTGAATAAAAAATAAAATTGCCTGGAAATGATTCACCATGTTCTAACTTGAATTCCAAAAGGAAATATATTACTTACATATTTTACACATTCTCAGAAAGAAGTGAAAGCATTATCTAGTATTCCATCAATTCACTGGTAATATATTAATATTCTCTTGCAATAAATAATATTAACAAACCTTCCACCTGTATGATCATCACTTTATCAAACAGCGGAATTATAGAAAATGTACTTAACATCAAATGTGACTTGAATCTCAAAATTCATTTAAAATAAAAATTCACTTGAAATCCTGTTTTAAAATAACCTAGGAATGACTGCATCCCTCAAGGGAAGAATCTTTTGGCAAAATAAATAGCAATTCTCTGTTAAATCTATTTTTTAAATAAATCTTAGGACTTTGTATTATATTGCTTTTTTGTTTTGAACATGCCTAATTCGCATGACCACAATGGTACCTGATAGTTAGGTAATGCCTCTTTTACATAATGTTTTCTCCATAGAGTCAAGAGCAATGCTTTGTGCTTATTAGATGTTTATCATGTATTAAACAAAATAATGCTTCAAGAAGGTTTGCCTGTATGTGTCTCAGTATAAAAACATACATGGACACACAGATACCTGTTGGAGTATAAACACACATGAGTACACACATCCCATGTGTGTTTGTGTATCTTTAAGCCTCATTTAGTGGGGTATTTTAAAACAAGAAAAAGTCAATACAATTCCATTTGTAATAGTTGCTTGGGATTGTGAATTTATTGCATTAGTATTTAATGGGTATGAAAACTGTCAGGAAAGGATAGATACTCATGAAGGAAGAAATGTAAATAATATCCTAAGTATTTAGGACTGCTGCTCCTGGTTCCACCCACCCCCATTCCCATGGAGGGACCAGAGCTACCATAGGAATTTTGTGAGAATAAAGATAAAAACATAAAAATTATTTTTAGAAAATAATTCCCTGAAAGAATCCAAATTGCTTTAGTTAATACAGTTCAGGAGAGATAAATCAGTCACAATGGTCTGCAGAGTGGAAGTGCACACAGTCGGCTGGGAGAGGGCTGCATGGGTGTATGGTGAGGACGCTCACCTGTCACACAATGGAAGCCTCAAAGTCACTGTGGGGGGCAGCTGGAGGCCACTTAGAACCACTGCTGACAGACTGTCATCTAGGAAGCCCTATAGAGAGTGTTGACTAAGTGCACGGCTTCTGCTTAATTATCTGAAAACCTAAGGTAATTAAAACATTCCATCAGAGTTTAGGAAAAGCTCTGCTACTTGGGGAAAATACATCCTGAAACATAGGTAAATAAAATAGATCCATAAAGTTCATACTGAATGTGGCTGTAGGTTAAAATCAGGAGTGACTCATTATCTGTACATATAATTGCATGGCCATGAATGCTGATTACTCACTAAAGAGAAGTTAATCTTAAGTCAGACCTTCCCTGCTCCTAGAAGTTGTATCACATACCAGGTCAGTTAAATGTGCTCCTTGGAAGCTGATTTCAACTCCTGTTTCTAGGCCCAAGTTTGTCTTTCAGGACTGCTGGTGGCTAAGCAGCGCTCTACAGGTTATGGAAGCCCTTTCGTCACCAGGCCACCTCTTTGCTAAGATGAGCACATCTCGTTTCATTCCCATTGCCTAATTTTCCTCGTGTCTCTTATCACATCTAAAATCATCTTATTTATTTATTTCAGTTCAGTGATTTTTACCTGCCTCCAATCCTAGAATATAATCTCCTTGAAGGTGGGTTTTGTGTTGGTTACTGCTATATTCCCAGTACCTAGAACAGAGCCAGGTACATAGAGATGCCTAATCAATATTTTTTGAATGAATCCACAAAGTGACTTAAGTTACAAACAGGAGAATTATCCCTGTAGAGAATCAAAGCCCATTTCTAATGAAGAACAGATTCACAATACAAGACTTTAGAAAAAAAACACTGCTATGATCTTGCCATTGGCTTCTCATTTCCCATAACTGACTGATGAAGTTTTAAAATTGTTTTGGATAACATGTGAATATACTCTATATGACTGTATAACCTACATGTGTTTTGAGAGAGTGTAACTCATCCAATTCTCATATTAGTCTTATTATAAGAAGTAAAGCAGGTGTGTTAAGCTCTTTCTGCAGAAGATGTAACTGCCTCGGCATGTTATAAGACTTTTCTAAGGTCACATTGTTGTTAAGAATAAAGTCTTCTGACTCTAGGTCCAGTGCTGTTTTCAAAAATTAAATTATATAAAAAGTGTGATCATATTCTACTTAATTTCTACTGTTCATTCATTCACTCATACAGTAACATTTTACCAAAAATAGAACAATTTTACATCTGCTGTGTGCCACCGTTGTTCTATACTCAGGGTACATAGCACTGTGCTTGTCTGAGTGGAGGAAACAATAATAAACAAATGAGTACTTTTAAAATTTCAGATAATGATAAATGCTATAAAATTGTTAAATAGTATAAGGACTAGAAACTGATGAGAGAGCAGGGAGCAACTGTTTCAAATAAAGACGGTCAAGGAGGCCTCTCCAGACAGCTGACCTGGTGTGTGCTGTCTTCTCTGGTTTAATCATGTACTCCTACTCCAAAGACTGTGACCCTTGGACTTCTGGCATTATCTCAGCACCAGACCACGTATGTGCTCCACTGGGGCCATTGGGGAATGCGTGAAATAAGCATACTTATGGCCTTTGATAGGCAATGTAGGGTCTTTCTCTTTTTCTGCCTGAGTAGAATTTGCCTGAACGGAGGATAGCAAGAGTACAACTAATGTAGTTAATAGATATTGACCATCTTATGTATCAATTGCATTCCCAAAGGTCTGTCTCTAAATCAAGCCCCTCCAAACAAAAACAAATAAATAAAACTCAAAGATAAACATTTGTTTGAATGATCCCAAAGAAGTAACTGAGAAAAGACACTCTTTTAATGTAAGTAATGCAAAATAGTAACTTCTAAATGAGAGAATTATTTAACATATTTGCTTCATAAGTAAGGGTTTTCTGAAAGTCAGGTACACCTGAACAGTATAGTTTTTAGGAGGCTTTTAAATAAATGAATTTGTGTCCTTACATTTGAATGTGGATGCATCTGATTCCCTTCAGTGACTAGATTCAAGAAAAAGTCCATTGTTTCCCCAGACCCCCTGGAACTCTCCAGAATGAGAATGCTTATTCTCTCAAACCAATGCAAGGCTGGCCTACTTTGAAGTTTTCCCTGTGATTAAGAAAATTAGTAATATTTTGACTTTCAAAGAACAGTGATGAATACAAAATAACCACAGGACATTGCAAAGCCACTCAAACTGGAATTAAGCCTATCTGTGCATTGTCCAATAAAGTGAATTACTCCAGAGAATATGGGTGGGTGAAATAGTCTTAGATTTTACATACTTTCTGGTCTCTTTAAAAAAACTCAACTTTAAATTTCATTTGAATTAATCTCCAAGGTGAATACTTCCAAAACTTGTCTAGTCTACATTTATCTTATTATCGCTCTGAAGAAAAGATATTAGAATGTAACTTGGCTTTTTGACAGTTTCTTGAGTTGAGTGGAGGGAAAATCACTGGAGTTATATAATATGAGTGATTGGTATGTGAAATTTCACCTAAGAAAATAAATCTCACACCACACAAAAGGCTTCTCAGAAAAACTACCATTTCAAAAGCTGAAATCCACAAAAAATCTACCTCATTGAAATTTTGTAATCAATCTAAAAATGTAACATTCCCAAACAAAATAAAATGCAAATATATAAAATGGAATTATTCTTGAAGGCTATAGAATTTTATTTTATATCAAAAAGGCAAAAAATATTTGAGTCTTTGGCAATGACTTCACCATACTGTAATATGGCAGAGAGGTTACCATTTGACTCATGTGTTCTTTTCTAGAGCCTTGTATTTTAACTTATTGGGTCTCTGGATCATTCTGGTGTGTGCTGTCTTCTCTGGTTTAATCATGTACTCCTACTTCAAAGACTGTGACCCTTGGACTTCTGGCATTATCTCAGCACCAGACCAGGTATGTGCTCCACTGGGGCCATTGGGG